CGGCCCCGCGGGGCGTGTGCCCAGGAAGCTCCGCCCCGGCGCAGAGGGCCGCCGCGCCTACCCAGAGCTGCGGGCCACTGCCGGGAACTCCTGACCCTTCCCGGAGCCACTGCCGGGGGCCCCATGCCTCGGCAGGCCCCTGGACGCAGGACGGGAAGCACGGCGGGCCAGCACCGGGGACAGCCCCGTCCCTGCCCTGCCTGGTCACAGAGGTCTGCGCACGGCCCGTCTGAAGCTGCAGGCCATCCGACGACTGCTGCCAGCGCCCACGGCCCCACCAGTCCTCCGCAGGGCCCGCCAGGCACTGCCCGTATCATCTCAGCCTCCCCACGCCACAGGCCCCCACAGGAAGAGCGGAAGAGGCCCTTGGGGCAGCAAAGGGCCGAGGACGCAGCTGAGGGGCTGCCCGGCCTCCAGCCATGGCCGCCACAGGCCAGGGGCAGTCTCCCAGGGCGCCCAAGATGCACACCACCCACTGCGTGACACGGGACCCTGGACACGCCGTGGCCAGCACGTCACCACACTGCAGGCAGAGGCGACGAGACGAGGCGACTTCCCGAGCACTGAGGGCAGGCAGGGGGGCACGAGAGCTCCCCCAAAGGCCCTCAGCAGCAGGCGGCCGGGCTTCGGCAGCCGTCCCCCATACCCTGCCCATCAGGTGCCAGGCGCTTACCACCACGGAGTCGTTGTGGGTCAGGTCGACGACCACGGGCTCAAGAGACTCACAGGTGAGGTCCACGATTTCGTCTCCGGCTTCAAGAGAGAGCAGTGCAGAGATGAGACAGCAGGAAGAGCAGAGGCGCACCCGCGTGGGCCGGGCGCACTGCCCAGACGGGAGCCCGCCGGGGCCCGCCAGCTTTGACCGTGAGGGTAAGGCTCACAGAGGGCGTGCCTGTGCCCAGGGATCCCAGCTCCCAGGGGGCCGCTGTCCCCACGCAGACAGGAGGGCTCAGGCCCAGCCTGACGCCCGGAGAGCCCGCGCCAGCTCTGGCCCTCCTTGCTCGCGCCACCCTCCAGTGGGTCCCACCTCACGTGGACAAAGCAGGTGTTGAGTTGTAGAGCAGAGCCACAGCACCGGGGCGGGCACCCCCGCGGGCAGGGAGGGCGAGCCCCTCGACTCGATGGGAGACGACAAGCCTCCACCCCGTCCCCGGGGAGAGCCAGTGCGCCGCCCTGTGAGTCAGCATCACTGGCTGCCCGCTCCTCCCTGCCAAGGCCACTGGGCAGAGCCCTCTGCGCCAGACACGCCAGCGCAACGCGCCCAGTGACACGTGCTGGCGACAGCAGAGCGCAGCCGTGCGTCCATGCTGCTCGTGTGGGCAGCGTGGGGCCTGGGGCGGGCGGAGAGCGGCTATGGCGGCGTGGCTGTGCCTGAGCCCGGGCCCTGCCCACGTGTCCAGCACACCTGGGCGCCTGAGGGCCGGCAGTGCCGACCCAAGGCCATGGGGAGGGGCCCCCAGGACGGAGAACCCCTCGGTTATAGAGACCCAGACGTGACCCAGGGCCAGCTGACCCACGAGCACGGGCCTGTCTCAGACCACACCACTCCTGCCAGAGCGCCGCTTCCAGGCACCCAGACTGCTCAGAGGTCGGCAGCAGCGGTGAGGCGGGGGACCGGTCTCAGGCAGCTGCCGCTCCTCTGGCAGACGACAGGGGAGCAGCTGGCATGGCCGCTGCGCCCTACGGTCTGGCGACACAGGTCACTGCTGCTTCCAGCCGGACAGAGAGAAGGGAGGGGGCGGGGCCTCCCAGGCCCACGCCCTGGAGACCAAGTTTCCAACCTGAAGGGTGGGCTCAGGGCAGCCTGGCCCTCCTGGCCCCAACATGCCCAAACCAAGCGGGACCTTTCCGGGTGCCCACGGGGCAGGTCTGACAGGCCGGGGCCGGCCGTCTTACCGCTCTCCACCAGCTCGATGGGCTGTGCTTCCAAGGCCATCTCGGGGGCGGAGGCCGCTTCCCGCGTTCTCTTCTGAGCTTGTCTAGAGCCGGCTGCTCCGCCACGACGCTTTCGCTACGGTGCCCGAGGAGAGAACCGTCACGTGAGCACAGGCGCGGCCAGGTCTCCGCAGAGCAGCAGTTGACAAGGGAAGGGCAGACAGCAGGGCTGGGCAAGCAGGGCCGCAGCACACGGAAGCTCCCAGAGAAACGTGCCTCAGCGAGCGCACGGTCACTGGCGTAGGGACAGGTGAACCCCCCCCCCCGTGGCCCAATCCGGCCGCCCTGACCCGCAATCAAGAGACCTCAGGCCAGCCCCGCGGCAGGAGGAATCAGGGAACGAGGGCCTGCTGTTTCCGCAAGGCCCGCCCACGCCGAGAAGCCCGCCCTTCCCATCACCAGCAGGGCACCCGGCTCCTGGGCCCTGCCCTCGTGTCCCCTGCCGCCCGCTGGGCTGTGGCCACACTCCCACCCTGCCACGGCCGCCGAGGGCCAACACCCAGCACATGCGACTTGCGAAGCGCCCAAAAGCCTCTGGAAGCTCTGAACGCCGCGGGGAGCCGCCACGAGCCCTGCAGCTCAAGGCTGCGGCTTCTACCGCCGCCAGCAGATTGCTCACCAGCACCCCGAGTCCCCCGCCTCCCACACCTCCCTCCCACCCACGCAGCCCGGAGCTTGCCATCCTCACCGCGTGGCCCGGCTCCCCCGTCCGGGGCGGGAGGCCGGCAGTGCCCCCGCCCCACCCACGGCCACAGCCCCCACTCTAGCTGGGCCCGGCACCCGAGCCTGTGTGGCCTTTGCCCTCCTGGCCGCCCTCTGCTCAGCTGCCCCTCCCACTGTGAGGACACCTCCCTGCTCACTGCCCGGAACGGCCCCCGCCCCGCACGCCCCAGCGGAGCCTCCACGCAGACGGAGCCCGGCCAGCAGCACCCGCGTCCCCACTCTCCTCACCGGTACCCGCCCGGCCAGGCAGGGGCGGGTGGGCGCGCACTACGGTGGGCGCGAGGGTGACCCCCGGGTCTGGCTTCAGGCCTTCCCTGGGCTCACCTGGACGGGCCGGGGCAAGGCAGGGCGCGAGGCCGGCGGGGGCATCGGGCCAGCCCTCGGGTGTCCGCTGCTCTGCTGCCTCCGAGGGCCCACCCACCGCGCCCTCCCGCCCTGGCTCCGGTCCAGGCAGCTCCCTGAGGAGCGGGCGTGGGGCAGGCCGCGCAGGCCAGGGGCAGCGCCGAGCCCTCACCGTGCTCATGGTGCTCCCGCGGGCTGCGAGGAGGCGACCGCGGCGCGTCCAGCGTGCTCAGCCGCCCTGGCTCTGGCACGTCAGTCCCGGCCCCGCATGGAATCCGGGCGGCAGACTCCGGTGTCTTCAAGCCCTGAAACACAGACACCAGGGATGGGGCCGCACCCACAAAGCCCACGCCTGCACCCCGCCTGCCGCGCCAGAGACATGGACACAGCAACACGCCCAACACCCCTTCTCCGCAGGAGGCGGGCCCCTGTTGCCCCCGGCCGGCAGAGGCCACGCTGCGGGGGGACAGGCACAGCCCACGCCGGGGCCGGCCCCGGGCGGCAGGGACAAACCGCCGAGCCTGCGCCTCCCCCGCGCCCTGCTGAGACTATGGTGCCAGAGGCAGCAGGCGCGGAGGCTGTGGGCCGGGCTGGGCCTCCCGGGACCCGCTGGGC